AGCAGGATCATCACGAGACAGCCAATCCGACGAGTCTGAACACTATTTCGTACCTCTTTCAGCAGCCGGCTTTTCCCGTATTCCCCCAGAAACCAAAGGGCCTTCAGTCAGGAGCACAAGGCTATATACTTCCCAGAGTGAGCCCTCATTGCTTGAATCCCTTGTCTCAGACGACAATATTCGGAGCAAGTACAGTGATATACCCGACACATTTGACGATCTGGATTCGTTTAAAGATTACGATCATGGAAACGGATTTCTTTCAGTCGCTGGTTCAAACAGCGTGGCTTCAGATGGGCAGCAACTATTCTATGACCTCGAAGAAGAGTCTCATGATCAAGTCTTCTCTCCACCCTTGCTAATGGACTCGACCCTCTTATCAGATGCATATGAAGACTTGTTAGGTATGTTAATCTTTCCCATTCATGACACTTTTGGACTCCTAGGTTTCATTTTAGGTCCACATAGGTTAAGGGTAGTACCCATATCTTTCAGGGATCAAAATCTAGGTTTAGTGCCCATTGATGCACAAACTCAGATTATTTCGGAGTGTTCTGATGTTTCCTAGGCATTTCCCCGGATCTTAAGACCATCTTATCTGGTGTCGTTACAGAAGCTTCTTCCCCGGGCATTAGGGTTTATTTCGGTAATCTGTATCATGTAAAGATTTCAGAAAGCGGTCGTAGTTTTTTAGTAACCATGAGGATTTGCGACATATCAGTGCAACATTAGCTTTTAAATGATGTTTTTGCTTTCACTTCATATATCTGCAGCTCCTCTGTCAGAAACCGAAGCCGCTTTGATGGAGCACTAGTGATCAATCCTCCCCCCTTCGCGTTCGGACAATGCATCTAATGTTATCGTACTTGAACTGATCTGTTCTGGCCGAGACCGAGAGACTAAGAGATTCACTGTCAACTCCAGTATGTGTGTGCGTGTGTGTTGAAACGTTGTAGTTTGAGGTAGAAGAAGTATTGGCCTCTTGTATTTGCTTGGATAACACAAGTGTTTTTTTTTTTTAAAATTTCCTTGTTATCTTTAGAAGAGTATTGAATTTTCAATTTTATGTGAATTCAATTTATCATTGTTTTTATTTTGGGTTATTATTCCCTCTTTGTTGTACTGTGGCGGTAATTTAGAAATTGTATTAATTAAATAAGAGCATATTTAAAAGTAATTAAAAGAATATTGAATTAAGGTGGAAAAAAAAGGCTTAAAAATAAATGATATTATTGTCTTCGGAAAAGTTGAAAATTGTTGATTCATCTTCTTCCCACCTAAGCCCCTTTCTTGATTTGTCTCTCTTTACGCCTGTCTTGTCTTTCACCTCGATTCAAACTCTGAGATTCAAGCTATCTTCGTCTCCGTCTCCACAAACCCTAATTCAATGCAATTCCCACCTTCCTCTCATATGCTTCCTCCATCCATGGATCCCTAGTCTCTGCAATAACGTTGCTGAAGAGTTCGTGGGAAAATGCCGAGTGTAGCTGTGAAGCTCTACAGTGTCTTCTTCAAGTTCCTGTTGAAGCACCGTTTGCAGAATCAGATCCAATCCACCGGCTCCGGTGATGAGTCCTCGTCGGATCCGTTCGGCGTCACGACCCGACCTGATGAATCCGTTGCCGCTCCGAACCCGTCCTTCACCGATGGCGTCGCAACCAAGGACATTCACATCGACCCGTTAACCTCTCTCTCCCTTCGGATCTTCTTGCCGGAATCCGCTCTCGCTCCGCCGGAGCCGGATGTTTCCGGTAAGCCGCGAAATTCCCGCCCAAATCACCATCACCTCGCCGGATCAGATCTCTCCAGAAGAAACAGCTTCGGCTCCTCAAACATTTTCTCCTCTGCGAAAGAGGAATCGAGAAGGAACAGTTACGGTTGCAGCACCGACGAGGCTCTCAGCGCGAGATCCTCCGAACCGTACAGAGGGTACTCGCCATCGTCGGCGGGGAACTGCCGGGGACTCCCCGTGATGTTGCAATTTCACGGTGGTGGATGGGTGAGTGGGAGCAATGACTCAGTGGCCAATGATTCCTTCTGCAGAAGAATGGCAAAGCTCTGCGACGTCATTGTTTTGGCCGTCGGGTATCGGCTTGCGCCCGAGAATCGGTACCCTTCGGCGTATGAGGACGGGCTCAAGGTGTTGAACTGGCTCGGGAAGCAAGCAAATTTGGCAGAGTGCAACAAGTCGATGGGAAGCTCTCGGCAACGACTCGGGACGGAGTTAAAGAAATCGGAGGCTAACAAGCATATAGTGGATGCTTTCGGTGTATCAATGGTGGAGCCTTGGCTTGCGGCTCATGGAGATCCTTCAAGGTATGTAACAATGTCTGATCACTTGCATTGTGGGAATTCAATTCGTGTTAAGCAAGTAGTTTAGACTGCGTTCCTGGTGGTACGAGGATGGATGGCACTAGTGAACGAGATCAGTATCTGTAGGAAAGACAAGTGTATCATCAAGAAAGGATGATGAAGTAATTGGAGGATTAGAGTTAGAACCATCGCGGTTTTGTCGATGTGAATGTGTGCGTGTGTGTTTCAATGTTTGCTCTCTGGCTGAAATTCTAACCTTTAGTCTAAATATGTTTAGAACATGCTTTCGGATGTTTCCTCTGTGATCTACTGATGGTAGGTGTAGAATTGGATTAATGAAAGTCTTTCGTGTTTGGTTTCCGTAGATTGTTAAGCTGAATGTGGTTTTCCGATGTTTGGTCTGTGATCTACCAAGGATTGGTATTTGGTTTAACGATGATTGCTTGTTGTTGGCATTGATGTCTGTAACTTCCGATGCTATTTCATCACATTTTCTTTCATCTCTTTACGAGCCGGTGTAGGTCTGTATCATGTCTATAATACGTGTGTAGGTCTGCATCATGTCCATCCTTTTCAGATTACGAGAAAACTAGATATTAGCCGAGCACTTGAATCAATATTTTCTGGTTACTTACGCTGCAGTTGTGTGAAATACATGCTTCTATATCACACTTATAACATCTTTCAGATTTTAAAGATCATTGCTTTCATGTGATTCAACCGATTTTTTCTAGATGGGTGTTGTCCTTTTTGGCTTCTAGGAACTTCCAAGGAGAAAGAAATTAGATACCATCATAGTATTAGTCGCAATAATTTCTGATTATGGTTCTATCTGTTGAAGCCACAAACTTTTCTTTACCTTTTTTTTAAGATTTTTTTCTCTAATTTTTCAAGGTCGTTGCTTTGCATGTGATTCAAGAGAAATCAAATCATGTTACTGTTGTGTGACTTGTTCTTGTCGGAACTCAGATGTGTGCTTCTTGGGGTGAGCTGTGGTGCCAACATAGCGGATTACGTAGCTCGTAAAGCCGTGGAGGCAGGCCGGCGGCTGGACCCCGTCAAGGTTGTCGCCCAAGTTCTGATGTACCCTTTCTTCATCGGCTCCATTCCCACCCAATCCGAGATCAAACTCGCAAACTCCTATTTCTATGACAAGCCCATGTGCATTCTCGCCTGGAAGCTCTTCTTACCCGAGGAAGAATTCAGCCTGGACCACCCGGCTGCCAATCCACTCGTCCCTGACCGAGGCCCACCCCTCAAGCTAATGCCACCTACACTAACCATCGTTGCAGAACACGACTGGATGAAAGACCGAGCCATCGCTTACTCAGAGGAGCTGAGGAAGGTAAATGTAGACGCTCCGGTCTTAGAGTACAAAGACGCGGTTCACGAATTTGCCACGCTCAACATGCTTCTGAGGACACCACAGGCTCAGGCCTGCGCAGAAGACATTGCCATCTGGGTCAAGAAGTACATCTCTCTCCGCGGCCATGAGTTCTCGTACTAGCTTCTCCTCCAGGGTATAAGAACAAAAGGGCTGATCTGAAAACCGGGCGAGGTATGAGAACAAAAAGGTGAAATCAGGAAACCTGGTTTTCCGGGAGGTTTTTCTCTCTAGCTCCGGCGAGAGGAAGAACAAAAGGGCTGGTCGGAAAACAGGGGATGATCGTTCCTCGCTTGTCTGAAATCGTTTATGCAGTTTCACATGTAAGACATGCGAGAGGTTCTCTTGAGTTAGTCTTAGTGTTGTGTTGCTCTGTTGAGATGAAAGTCGTCTTCTTCTTCACCATTTTTGTGTATTACTCAACTTTCTCCATTTATAAAAAGTCCATGTATTTTGTAGATTTGATTCAATGTTTGATCTTTGAGTGATGTTGTGGTTATATATGTATATAGGTTGAATGTATTCATGGCGACCACGGCCCAATAAAATCTCAGCATAGCCCGTTAATACCCTGTGTCCAACCTAGATGAACCAGACCCGTATCTTGACCCGGACCCGGACCCGGCTCCACGGCACTGGATCTCCATTTTAGTACATACTTTCCAATTTCATCTGCAGGACCGCGAATCGGCTGCACTTCGTTCTCACCGTGTCCGATCCCTTTTTACCCGGCGAGTTTACCGGCGGAACAAAATTTCCGGCAGATCCATCGATTCTCTCGGCTTACTGCTGTCGGTTAGTTTCGGTCATCATTGGCTCTCCTGTCTCTCTTTTCCTCTTTGTTGCCTCGTCTGAGCAACTAAAACTCGGATCAAGTTACCAAATTAAGCTACTGATTTGGCATAAATGGCAAGATCCAGCGAGGAACTGTTACTTTCCTCGAAGTTGCTTAATGAGTATTTATTGCTTTCTTTACTCAATTTTGGAATCCTATTTAAATCGTTTTTTTTTCCTAGTTAGCTTCTTCTGGGTTTGGATAGCTTCATCTTTTCTTCTGTGTAATTTGGTTAGTATTGCTAAATAAAGACAACAACTGTAGTGGTGAGAGATCTAGCGAGTAATGCCTTTGTTTCAGTTTGCAGTTCTCCTTCTATATTAGGTGCATGAAGTGGTACTTCCGCTTATGGTTTCTCTATTTGTACTATGGTGATTCTGATCAAATGGGTCTGTTAATTTTCAGCCAAATTCCGGGTCCTTGGAAGGGCGCTGCTTTGGCATGCCGCTGAGTAGACATCTACGGTTGAAATGCGGGCTTTGAGGTTTCCTTTGGCCGCTCAAGGCATCTGTCCCAAGCTGAGGATAGCTGGTGTTGTGATTTTAGCTGCATGGATTGGTATTGCAGCTTTGTACGGCCTTCTAAAGCCTATCAAGAATGGCTGTATTATGACTTACATGTATCCCATTTATATTCCCATTTCCTCGATGGGTAATGCACCTTCTGGAAGATATGGACTCTATCTTTACCATGAAGGCTGGAGGAGGATTGACTTTAAGGAGCACCTCAAGAAGCTCAGTGGAGTTCCCGTTCTTTTCATCCCGGGCAATGCTGGTAGCTACAAGCAGGCAAGACACCCTCTTCTTTCTTGAGTTTCGATACACAGAAACGGGTTCCTAGTTCTTCTACTGCATGGTGCAGTTATAACTTATAAGTGGAATGTTTAACAGTTAATAAGTAGAAAGCTAGGAATTTCCTAATTAGCAGTCTCCATGCCATTTGTAAGGGTAAATTGTTTCTTGAACTGAAAAATTATGTTACTGTCTCTCTACCATAGGGAATCTATCTCCTAGTTGCACATGCCAGATTTCTCATTGGCCCTGTCTGTTGTATTGCTGTTATTACAGGTCAGATCTCTGGCAGCAGAATCTGATAGAGCTTTCCAAGGGGGTCCATTCGAGAATACATTTTACCAGGAAGCTTTTCTACAGACTGAGGGTAGTGCAGACATGGACACAGTCAACTATGAAGTGCCTAATCAGTACACCAATAGACTAGATTGGTTTGCAGTGGATCTTGAAGGTGAACATTCTGCAATGGATGGCCGCATACTCGAAGAGCACACTGAATATGTCGTATATGCCATTCATAAGGTATGGCTTGATTTTTGTTTCATTTTCCATAAAGCATTTAGAGTGGTAGTATATTACAAGAATGTGCTACATGTCTCCGACCCTGTTCAGAACTGTCTAAAATCGTATTTCCAAGTTCTCATGTGATCAATGTGATTTGAGCTTTTATTTGTCAAATGCCGTATGCTCCTCTTGAATGACCTCATTGCCTGCAATATATTGAAAAAAAATAGCTCATTTCTAAAAGGCTTTACCCCATGATTTTGGCTCAAGCTTGCTCTTATGATTGCACACATTTTTTTTTTTTGGAAATTTCATTTGGCAAAGCTCATTCAGAAGGCATGACAAAACATCTCTGCTCTAAGTTCAAATTTTCAAGTGATGCTTTGTCTATTCAATCCCTTGTTATCGCTCTCTTCTTCTCTGCAGATTCTCGAGCAATATAAGGAATCTCATGATATCAGACAAAGAGAAGGGGCTGCTGCATCTGGTAATTTACCGCGTAGTGTGATATTGGTTGGGCATTCTATGGGAGGTTTTGTTGCTAGAGCTGCTGCAATCCATCCTCATCTGCATAAATCTGCTGTGCAGACCATTCTAACACTCTCAAGCCCACACCAGTAAGCATCCTCTATGAGTAATAGATATCTCTCCAAAATAAATTTATTAGGTCTTTATGTATTTAAAATTTTATCCAGATCACCTCCTCTGGCTTTGCAGCCATCCTTGGGACACTACTTTGCCCAAGTAAATCGAGAATGGAAAAAGGGCTATGAAGTTCAGACATCTTCAGGTGGAAATTATGTCTCTGACCCATTACTATCTCAAGTGGTGGTTGTGTCCATTTCCGGTGGTTACAATGATTATCAGGTCCATATTCATCTACACGTATTTGGGTTCTTCTGCTAATGTGCTCAACTGTTTTCATTACGGAGCTCTCTACAGTAGCATGTTAGCCTGAATGAGATGAGACATGTTTGTGTTCTTAAAGTCAAACTTTTACTTTTGGCCTCAGGTGCGATCGAAATTAGAATCACTTGATGGCATTGTCCCTCCTACTCATGGCTTTATGATAAGTAGTACAAGCATGAATAACGTGTGGCTATCGATGGAACACCAAGCTATACTGTGGTGTAACCAGTTGGTTGTGCAGGTAGGTAGAAAGCTTCTCATTATCAATCTGGAGAATGTTGCGCCATTCAAAAGTCTGAAGATATGCATGCATTATGCAGGTTTCACATACACTTCTTAGTTTGGTAGACTCAAAAACAGGGCAGCCTATTGCTGATACTCGAAAGAGACTTTGGATGTTCACAAGGATGCTTCAAAGTGCATTGGCACAGAGTTTCAATGGAATGACACCTACGAAGTTGTCTCATGAGATACCCGTCTTGGCCTCAAAGGGTATTAATTGTACTTCTCCACATATAATTTAATTTTCTTAAATAAAAGCCACTGAGGAAGGGAGATAAATTTCCTTGTATTAAAGCTATAAGGATGTCGAGCTTTGGTCATTTATTTCTCTCGGTTAATTGGTGTTATGTTGTCAGATAATACAAATATACAAAACTACCGGGTCTTCTTAGGAAACAATTTTCAAGGCAGTTATTACTTCGATGCATTGCTTTCGTTAGCATTTGCATTTCTTGCACATACGGATATTCCTCTAGATCATGACAATGCTTTGTGTTTTATATCAGGCTCTGTAGCACATAAACCTTCTTGTCCAATGGATTGGAGGGATGATGCTCTTGACAGGGATCTGTACATCCAAACGAACACAGTTACTATTTTGGCGATGGATGGGAGACGGCGTTGGCTGGATATTGAATCATTGGTAACTGTCCCTAGTGCTATTATTTACAGGAGTACATCAAGATCAATCTCTCATGATTCAGTTTCTGTATGTGCAGGGGACAAATGGAATGAGCCACTTTGTCTTTGTTACAAATCTTGCACCTTGTTCCGGAGTGAGACTTCATTTATGGCCTGAGAAGGAGAAATCAGATTCAGATTTACCGGTTTGTCAAAGGATGGTGGAGGTTACCTCAAGAATGGTTCTCGTTCCATCAGGCCCTGCACCAACACAGGTAACACTATATTCTCATCTGCCAAAGAATTGTTGGAAAGTTATTTTAAGCAACACTGGTTTTAAATGCCTATAACACACCCAAAATGAATGGTTTTCATGCCTGATATATTCAAATTGTCATGAACACAGATTGGGTAAGCATTGTCATTGATTAGCTTTCTCTGTATGGACCTGTTTATTAGTTGGAACCAGGGAGTCAGACAGAGCAAGCTCCTCCAACTGCTGTACTGAGGCTGGGACCTGAAGATATGCGTGGGTTCAGATTCTTGACTATCTCAGTTGCGCCTCGTCAAGTATTTACTCACCCTCTATTACTTCGTGGTCTTCTCAAATTTAAGCATACCGAATGAGTTTCTATTGAATGCAATGGAAGCGAAAGCATGCAACTGAAACTGATGATCTTCTCTTGCTCAGACAGTTTCTGGCAGGCCTCCTCCGGCTGTTTCTATGGCAGTTGGGCAGTTCTTTAATCCTGAAGAAGGAGCCATGGAGGTCTCGTCTCAATCGATGCTTCTATCGACCTACTGGCCGAAGGTCTAGTCTGCAATACTTCAATTCTTCGCTTGTCTCATTCTTGGTCAAAATAGGGTTGAAGTCTCAGTGAGAATGTATTACTAATAGGCTCAAAATTAGCTTCTGGAAAATGAAGCTAATGAAGTATTGGCTGACTGATTTTTGGTTGTGGAATACCTTTCTGCAGAATTTGTTGTTGAAGGAAGACCACCCTCTAGTGTACAATCTATCTTTTGCTATGAGCTTAGGTCTTCTGCCCATAACTCTGTCCCTGAAGACTGCCGGATGTGGAATCAAAACTACTGGTCTCCCCGATGGAGAGAGTGGAGACTTGGACAAGGAAAGTAAGGATTCAAAAACCTCTGTTGATTCTAGAGAACCTTATTTGGTGGTTTTTCTTGTCTGCTTTTAGTACTCTTTTCGGGATCTGTATGGTACATCGCTTCTAATGGTTTGATCTTCAATATTGTGAACATGGATGAGAAATCACATATGTGTTCGTTCCGCATATCATAAAGAAAAAACTACTTGCTCTTTTATACCATTTACTAACTCTATCTCGTTCTATTTCAGAGCTTTGCAAATTGCGTTGCTTCCCACCTGTTGCCCTTGCCTGGGATTCTGCATCAGGACTTCATGTCTTTCCAAATCTTTTCAGTGAGACAATAATTGTTGATTCTTCACCAGCACTTTGGAGTTCTTCTCGGAGTTCTGAGAAAACCACCGTTATGCTTCTGGTTAGAAGTCTCCAACCTAAGGCTAGTCTTTGAGGTCGTAATGTCCTCACTAAAACAAAAACTGAAATGTTTCTCTTGACATATCCTCCTACAGGTTGATCCTCATTGTTCATATACTGCTGGTATTCAAGTATCTGCTCATGCGATGGCCAGCAGATTTTTGCTTTTATACAGTCCTCAGGTAGTTTTACTATTTGACCTTCAGCGTCAGATATATGAATTTTACATTCGCACGAGTGCGTGTTTCACGTATTTAATCGTTTAACAAGGTTTTTATCTTCTTAATCAATTACCTTTATATTTGGTTATTTACTGTATAAGGGATTTGCTTTCATTCTTGCTAAGGATTAGACTTAGTGTTTCTGTGACATGCGATCTTGCAGATAGTTGGCTTCTCCTTTGCTGTTATTTTCTTCGCTCTTATGCGGCAAGTTCATGAATGGGACCATAAACGGGCTGTGCCACCATTGCTCACAGCTGTAGAACACAACTTAAGAATGCCAGTTCCGTTTTTGTATCTAGCAGCTTTGCCTGTTTTAACTTCCTTGTTCTTGTCCTTCCTAATGGTCCAACCATTTCCTCCAGTTGCAAGCTTCACTGTCATCTCCTTGGTTTGTTATTTGTTTGCCAATGGGTTCATTATTTTGCTTGTTGTTGCCTCTAAATTGGTATTCCAAGTGATGGCCATCATCCACACCTCTCTTAAATCAATGTATGTGCTCGTTTCCACCCATCTCTTTACTTTCATATAAAATACTTTTGACTCGATTCTTCCTGGAATAGCTAAAACAATGAATCGGTCATAGCAGGTGCCAAGCTTGGGAGAGAAATTATTGCCTCGTGTTTCTACGTTGGTTTTCCAAAGTTGCTTCAAGTTTTGTCTGCTTAAAGGTTCTCTTATGTCCTTAAGATATTCTTATCCTTGTAGGCTCTAACAGTCTGCTAATCTGTTAAAAATCATATAATGGTTTCCATTTTTCTTATAGCATTTCCAGCAGGAACAGGTTATTGACTTTACTTTTCTGTTTAATCAGGCAATCAGGATTCTGAAGCTTAACACAATGCTTGTTACGATACTTGTGGCCATTACCTTGGCATGCTTTGTTCATCCGGCCTTGGGTCTATTGGTACTCCTATTGTCTCACGCTTGTTGCTGTCATAGTTCCATGTCCTGGTAAGCATGTTTCTTTACTTCCAAATCTGGTCGTGAATAATGTAGTAATATTAGAAGAATTAGATAGAATGCTACTCTAATATGGACTCTACCACACCTCTTTCCGGTAGTTTTGTGATGGCATCAAGGAGAAAGGAATCCGTTGCTGAGCAGAAAAACGGTGCCAGCCATAGAGCTCGACATTCCTTAACTAGACAGGACCTCTTATCAGATCAAAATCTCATCTCCGAGAAGAAAACCTCCTCTGCGTTAGGCTTTCCTGAAAAGTCTTTTCGCGAGACACAGGCTGAGATCTTCAACCACAGGCATGGCCTACTCATGTTGCATCTCCTTTCCATGCTTATGTTCGTCCCCTCTCTCGCCGCTTGGTTTCAGGTTCTCTCTTCGTATTCCCTCTCATTTCTGCGAAATTCTATCTCTTAGCATAACCAATACACAAAAAAGAAAACGGAAAGCAGCATCCCGATCACAGTACTCGTCTTTCCACCATTGATCATTCCCATATCATTATCTTAGGGGTGTCAACGGAAGCTGTTTAGCATTTGGTTTCTGATCTGTTAGCTTATGGGTTATGGTATATTGATTTAACTGAACAGTGAACTAATCTAATGTAGATACAGAAACAGACATAATACTGACATATAAATATTCTCTTCAATATCCAGCTTCCACATTTTGATTCTGAAAACTGATTTGGGTGTGTTGTTTGGCTGTTAGCCAGTGCCAAGATTCAATGGAACTTTACACCGAACTATATGGTTAACGCTTTTAAACTTACGGGATGAGCTTTCGCATGTGATTGCAGAGAATCGGGATGGGGCAGAGCTTCCCTTGGTTTGCGGATTCCGCCCTCTGTGCAGGTGTGATCTTCCACGGCATACTAAACTCGAGACCCGAGTCAAGCGTCTTGCTATCTTTCCCGTCGATAATGGGTCACGAACTCCGCCCCCGTCTCATCTACCTCCTCGCCGGCTTCTACTCCTACCTCTCCGGCCTAGCCTTGGCTCCGTACAAGGTCTTCTCCCCTATGGCTGCCATAGGCTACATCTCATTGGCACTGAAGCTCTCACTGGGCAATGATCTCCGTTTCCGAACCAAAAGCCATACGCACAGACACTGATCATTCTTTAACCCGAAACAACAAACAGACAACTGCTTTCATGGTCCGGCCGAGGACCCGTCGAAGCCAGGAGGAAATGTGACCAGAAACTCAGAGCATTAGAAGCTGATCGGACCAAGATTTATGTCAGATCGGTCGGGCGGCATTCGTAGGGGTTCGGAGAGATTGAACTGAAGAGAATTTTGTTCCGGCAGAGATTGCTTTCTGAACTCAAAAACTTCGTCATATGTTCGACCAGTGGGTCTTAGTTTGGTTTGGTCTGATTTGGTTTTTGTTAAGCGGACCGAGATTTTATGGTTGAATCGAAATCTGGAGTTGTGCATTAACACTATGCAAGGATTTATTTATAAAAATGGAACTGAAACGTATCAAAGTTATTCGTGCTCGCGTAATGGATCTTCAACAAATAAATCATATCGGACACATAAAATAACGAATGTTGACAAACTCTAGCCAGAAGCCATGCATGGTGTTCTTCCGACAAGATGCAGAACAAAACACAACGAATATAACGAACTCAGTAGTTGGCTTCTCCTTTGCTGT